CACGGCTCCAGCTGAGTACCACCGGCACCTCCACGGCCGGCTGCGGCGGAGGATGTCCCCGGCGTGAGCAGCCTAACACCGCCAGAGATGCGGCGGCGGAGATCCTGCCACGTCCACACCACGGCGCCGCTCCACGGGAAGCAGCCGTCGTCGTCGTCGGCAGCGCCCTAGTAGTACCCAATCCTCCTCTCCCGCCGCCACCCCTTCTCCTCCTCACCGGAGGAGCTCGCCTTGGATCCCTCCTCCTCCTCCTCACTGTCGGTGCCGTCAGAGTCGGAGTCATCGCCAGTGGCTCCCACATCTCCACCAGTAGCGCCGCCATGCTCGGCCCCCGAAACCTCCCCACCCTGGTCTCTAGCATCGCCGCTGCCGCCGTCTCCATCGTCCTCACCTCCGCCACCACCGCCCACCGCTCGTCCGCCCCCGCGCACACCCACCGCCCATGCGCCCCCGCGCACCCCTGCCGCCCGTCCGCTCTCGCACACCGCCGCTCACCAGCAGCCGAGCCTGCCGCCGCTCGCCGCTAGTTGCACCGGCTGTCGCTCACCACCAGCCGCGCCCACCACTCCCGCTCGCGCCGCTACCCACTTCCTGCCCCTGCATCGCCCCATGAGAGAGAGAGAGAGAGTGAAGAGAGAGTGGGGAAGAGGGGAAGTGGAGTTATGACATGTAGGTCCCACATTTTTTAAAAATTAGAAAATGCTGACTAGATTGCCACGTGTACGCCACGTAGGACAAAACCGCTTTGAATTGGATCGAGGGGGGTAATTTGTCCGGTATTGAAAGTTCAGGATGAACAATGTCTGGTTTTGTAGTTCAGGGGGGTAATTCGGTTGACCGTGATAGTTAGGGGGGTAATTCGTATCTTTTCCTAGATTTTATGGTCACATATAACTTCACGGGTGCATGGATATCAACGTATCACTTTACCTCAGAGCATTTAGAAATATCGAATCATAAAAAATGTGTGCGTATAATTTTATAACGGGGCGACGGGGGTGAGAATCGGGATACTGCTCAACTCGGAGGACATAGCGCCATGATGGCGTTGTAGCCCTGCGCTCGCACTCAGGCGATATGGAGAGAGACGAGGCGCATCGTTATTTTTTCCATGTGTTTGGTTTAGGGATGAGGTGGGATGGGTTAGGTTCATTCCTCTTTTTCTGGGATGGGATGAACCTAGTCTCTGTTTGGTTGGAGGGATGGAGCGAACCCTATTTTTTGTTTAGTTTGAGGGATACAATGGGTCGGAATGATTCTATCCCTTGTTTGGATGGGGGATTGTTGGCGGCTGTTAAGTGCCAAATATATACCGCCAACACCTGCATAATACTCAAATAATAGAACATCCGACATAGTGATAGGGATTATTTCTAACATATTCCACGAGTGTTGGTGTTTTTTCGATGCAGGACATAAACACCGAGGTTGGGAGGAAAATCAGACTAAAGGTGAGGAAGGAGTATATCCATACAAGGATGGGATTTGAACTTTATCAAAATAGCAGAGAATCAACTCAAAATTCACAGAAATAGATAGAGCAAGCTCAGAGGGAGAGATGGGCTAAAGGCCAGACCAGGAGGCCCCAGCCAGGGTTCGGCCGAACCAATACCTCCACCGTTAGATGTGGGGTTTGGCATGGACGCTCCTGATCACTCCTTGATGGCGGTTGGAGGGCACTTCGAGTATTTCCCCTTCCACAACCGTCATTAACTGTCCTATAAATAGACTTCACTTCTTCACTTTCAAGACACACTCCCAAGCTTGAGCTGAATTATAAGAGGCTCTATTGTACTATTTGTATACTACAATTAGGAAGAGCGTATAGTAGAAGACGTCAGAGAAATTCCGGAGCTGTCGGTAATCCTCTCCTATTTATTTTGTTCTGTTTATTACTCTGATATTAATAGCATTATCTTCCTGAGTAATATAGATTTATCTTGTGAGAATCATCTCTTGGCTAGTTCCTAATCAGCATACGGGATTATTGTTCACTATAATCAACTAAAATATAGTGATTTCTTTTGTGTTTTATAAACACTAAAGTAGATAATAATTGTTTAGATGTGGTGTTTAGGTAATTATTATCCAGTAATTGTTGCGTATCCCATAGTACATTTGAGGTGGGTGTAGAGGTGGTGATAGCCCTCAAGAACACTTAAGTCCTCTCTATCCGGGTACATACTAGAGCGACATCTGAGAACAGTGGGTTGCCAATGCCTGAAGTATTGCGTTAGGATTAAAATTAAGCTTTTCCTATGTTTCTCAGTAGAAAATTCTCTGTATCCTTTGCCTATCTTCGCTTGGTATCCTTGGATGAACCGGAGGAAGAGCTAATCACACACGTTTTCCTAGATTTGATACCCTTGGAATACTCCGTAGGGAAAGTGCTACATCGGTATATCCGTGCGCTTGCGGATTTTATCTGTGATCGTAAGAAATACCAACAGGGATAAAGGTGGGTTGTCTAGATAGAGACACCTCCTGGTGAGGTTACATCTCTCATACTAGGTGATTCCCCGCGCTTTGCTACGGTAATTACTAAGCAATTTTTAATATATTTTTTCGACAATCAAGCTAGGAGTAAAAAAGAAAAAAAAATGAAACGTCAGAATTTATCAGTACTTATCATGAACTGATACTCGTACTTTAATGTGGAACATGTTGATAAGTATGTGTTAAATATTATAAAAATGATAGATAGACTAGTTAAAATATCATAGAAATGATGTGAGAGGTGATGATTGGATATGCTTGCATATTGATTTGTTTAATTAAAAACAAATCCAATTTTCATCCTTCAACAGGAAAACCTGATACAACAGGTCCCTCAACTGTGAAACCAGTGCAGATGAGGTCCCTCGGCGGTTTTGACGGTGGTTTTGGCTGACGTGGTGCCTACGTGGCAAATTTGATTTGGTCTTCATCTGACGTGGCGCTTACGTGGCAATTTGATCCAGAAAAATAATAAACTTCGTGGGACCCACATGTCAGTCTCACACATAAATTAATAAAAAATGGTGGGGCATATATGTCAGTCAAACAAAAAAAGTGGGACCCACAAGTCAGTGGTCCCACTTCCTCTACCTTATCCTTCCAACTCCCAACCTCTATCTTCTCACCAGCGCTCTATGCTCTCCCCACATCGGCGAGCGCGCATAGAGGACGAGGCGGGTAGGCCGGCGGGGTTGCCGGCGCTTGGGAGGACAGGAGCCCCATCCTCGCTGGTGGTGTCCGCGTGTCTCTACCTATGCGACTGCCACCTTGCCGCTGATGCCACGTCTTTCCTCCTCCAGATCTGGTCCGCCTCACCCGCGATGGGCGAAGATCCGGCAGGGTCCCGCCACTAGTAGTGTGACGCCGACGAAGACCAAGGTTGGCTCTCCTCCTCCGCTGCCGGCCTTGGTGACGACCACTTCGACCGCCTACCCAACCCACTCCTACTCGTCATCTTATACTTTCTTCCCCCAGATCACACGCATCGTGCTCGGCGGCATCGTCAACCCCATCCAGGTGCTCGCCCAAATACTTTCGCTGCCAACTCCACCTCTATCCTCGCGGCATCTGTACCCTCTTCCCCCTCGTCATCGTCCTGCTCCTTCTCTTTGCCGCGGCGACGGGCTCTCTCACCGCCGTGTTTCACCTCTCCAAGGCCGACGGAGCGCACCTGTCGGGCACCTCGCCATCCGTCAAGCCGATAAAGTAGGCCTTGTCCTTGTCACCCAGCCATGGCGGTCGAGGAGCATCTCGAAGATGAGGTCGGGGACCGGGAGCTCACCGTCGCGTAGGTATGGCAGGAGGAAGAGCTCCATGAGCATCTAGTCGCCCGCTTCGAACATGAACCTCGGCGAGAACCCCCTGCGACCTCGCCGCCGCCCGCTTCCTCTCCCATAGCCCGTAACCCGCCGCGCGCCGCTCCTTCTCCCCATCACCCATCGTGCCCGCCTCCGCCTCCGCTGCTAGCTAGGAGGCGTCCTCCTGCGAGTCCGCCACCACAGCGTCGTCGCGACGGCATTCACGCCGCACCCCGCTCCATCAGTAGCCGCGCCGCGAAGAACGGAGAAGGAAGAAGAGCAGCAACAACCGTAGGGGATTGAGGATGACATGTGGGGCCCACCATTTTTTATTATTTTGTGGCGAAACTGGCAAGTGGGTTCCACGGGTTTTATTATTTTCTAGATCGAATTGATACGTAAGCGCCACGTCAGATGAAGACCGAGTCAAATTAGCCACGTAGGCGCCACGTCAGCTAAAACTGCTATCTAAACCGCTGAGGGAGCTAGTCTGCACCGGTTTTAATAATTGAGAGACTCGTTGTATCTGGTTTCTGGTTGAAGAACGGAAATCGGATTAGTTGACAAGTCAAGGGACCACAGATGAACTTATTCCTTATTTTTATGTTGCCTTCCGAGGCCTTTTAATCTTCCGGGTGTATTGGGCCTAATAGCTGGAATTTTAATTCTAAAAACAAAAATCACCCAAGCAGCCATTTTTGCGCGACAGAAATGAATTCGCGGGCCTATTTCGGCCCGAAAACCACCCATCAAAGCTTGCCCTTACGGATAAAAATGTTTTTTTTAAAACACAGTACAAAACGCAGGCGCTCACAACGTACGCACACTCACCCCTATGAACGCACACACGCACACCCTACCCTATGAGCACCTCCGAAAGACTAGGCCTCGCTGTCGACGGGTACGTCGCCTACCACTGAAAGAATAATTAGCCGTAAATGCGAGCACCCGTGTATTTTGAATGGATATAAACATGCACAACTCTCATTAACATTCAACTAATTAAACTGCCGACCCAGAACTCTTTTAACGCGGTTAAAATATTTTTCTAGTTAACAATCGGTTAGGGATGGGTTTCATCTCTTTTACGGATAAGATCGTATTTTAGACACGGTTTTTACAGATAATTTCCCGAGACCACGCGCTCCCCTCGCCGCTATATATATTTTGCGTTAGCCCTTCATCTCCTCCTCCTCCCTACCTAGATCACCGACGGAGGTAGTTGCCGCCGCCGCCGCCGCCGCCACCGCCGGCGAGGAAGAACCAAGATGTCGGCGACGGAAGTGATGGAGGAGTGCACGGAGACGGCGAGGGAGCGGCGGGAGGAGGAGCGGCTGAGGAATGTGAACCTCGACGACTGGCTCCCCATCACCTCGTCCCGCACCGCCAAGTGGTACTACTCCGCGTTCCACAACGTCACCGCCATGGTCGGCGCCGGCGTCCTCGGCCTCCCCTTCGCCATGTCCCAGCTCGGCTGGCCCACCGGCGTCGCCGCCATCGCCTCCTCCTTCGCCATCACGCTCTACACGCTGTGGCAGCTGGTGGAGCTCCACGAGCCGGCGCCCGGCGGCGGGAAGCGGTTCGACCGGTACCACGAGCTCGGCCAGGCGGCGTTCGGCCGGCGCCTCGGCGTCTGCCTCATCGTGCCGCTCCAGCTCATCGTCCAGGTCGGCACCGACATCGTCTACATGGTCACCGGCGGCCAGACGCTGAAGAAGTTCGTCGAGCTCGCCTGCGACGGCCGCTGCGCCGACATCCGCCTCACGTTCTACATCATGATGTTCGCGTCGGCGCAGTTCGTGCTCTCGCAGTGCCCCAACTTCAACTCCATCTCCGCCGTCTCCGCCGCCGCCGCCGCCATGTCGCTCTGCTACTCCATGATCGCGTTCTTCGCCTCGGTCCTCAAGGCCCACCCGGCCGCCGCCGCCGCCGTGGACTACGGGTTCAAGGCGACGACGGCGGCGGGGCGGGTGTTCGGCGCGTTCAACGCGCTGGGCGCGGTGTCGTTCGCGTTCGCGGGGCACAACGTGGTGCTGGAGATCCAGGCCACCATCCCGTCGACGCCGGAGCGGCCGTCGAAGAGGCCCATGTGGCGGGGCGTCGTCGTCGCCTACGCCGTCGTGGCGCTCTGCTACTTCACCGTGGCGTTCGGCGGCTACCACGCGTTCGGCAACGCCGTGGCGCCCAACGTGCTCATCTCGCTGGAGAAGCCGCGGTGGCTGGTGGCGGCGGCGAACCTGATGGTGGTCGTGCACGTCATCGGCGCGTACCAGGTGTACGCCATGCCGGTGTTCGACATGATCGAGACGGTGCTCGCCAAGAAGCTCCACCTCCGCCCCGGCCTGCCGCTCCGCGTCACCGCCCGCTCCGCCTACGTCGGTAAGACTTCACCTTTTGGATCTAAGATTTTATAAGATGGTATACTCTCTTCGGGCTAATAATACTTATCATTTTGGACAAAAGTGAGGTCAAACATTAAAATCTCTAGTTATAAATAATTTATAAAATATTTGTCTTTGAAATATGGTGACTACATGTATATGTATAGATTAGTTTTAAAAAATACTTCAATAAAATCATTTATTAAGATTTATATACATATTATAATAAAAATAATGATTAAAGTTGTTTTTTTTAAGATCGTGCCTTTGTCTAAACGACAAGTATTATTAATCCGAAGGAAGTACTTATGTTGTATGAGTGTATCAAAATTTTCAAGAATTTTTCATAACCGTTTAGATAGCTTTTACACTCTCTGGAGCGATCAAAACAATTTAATGTGTTTTGATCTGTCAACTTTGTGCAGCATTGACCATGTTCATCGGGATAACCTTCCCCTTCTTCGACGGCCTCCTCGGCTTCTTCGGAGGTTTCGGATTCGCGCCAACAACTTACTTCGTAAGATTTATTTATATATCCGATCACCATTAATCTCCATTAATTAATTTTTATGTTCTTGGTTAATTTGTTTGCTTATTATTATTTGTTCATGTTATTTAATTAGATCCCCTGCATCATATGGCTCATAATGCGCAAGCCCGCCAAGTACAGCCTCTCATGGTTAATGAACTGGGTAAGTTTCAGTTTTCATTACGCTCCTGAAAATAAACAATCAAATCGATTCTTTTAATCATGTTGTTCTTACTTCTTACCGTTCAATTTGGCCAGTGTTTCATCATCATCGGAATGCTGCTCATGCTGGTTTCACCCATCGGAGGATTACGGCAGATCATCCTTGACGCTAGCAAATACAAGTTTTACTCTTAGTCCGATCCGGCCTAGAAGATGATAGAGTAGGATTAGTTGTCAAAAGAGCTAGTAGTAGTAGTTTTTAAGATTTCTTTAGCAATGCACGGTGCAAGTTATCAGTGTCTAGAAGACCAGGCATCAGAGATGTAATAGAGTGCCTGAGTTTATCTCTATTATTATTATAAAAATTTAAGATGTTTTTATCAAATTTTCGTCCGTCACATGTAGTCAAATTCAACCCGTATGGCCGTATTCAAAGAGCATGCGATTTATAATCCACATCCGATTCCGTTTCTTCCCACCGGTGTTTTTGGTTGTTTGGCAGCACGAGAACCAGGCAGTAGGCTGCGTAGCATGGGCCACTGCTGCAATCTCCCACCCAACGTTGGAGAAAATTGCAATGTTGAGACTGCAAACATGGGGGCTTGGCTGTTTTAACATTTCGAGTGGATGACAAATGGACCCATCTGTGTGTATGAAATGTGGGTCTAGTGTCTGTGGGGAGATAGAAAAAAGAAGTTGCAATATATATTCCTCGTATCATTTATTAATATATATTTTTATTTTTAACTGTTAGTGTGTTACTATAATGTTATCGTTAAATTTTGTTAGATTATTCGTCTTATTTAACAAATTATATATATTATTATTTATTTTGTTATGTCTTGTTTTATCATTAAAGAAACTCTAAGTCGATATGGCTTACACTAAATTTTAAATAAAATAAATGATCAAACATTATTTTAAATGTTAACGATTGTAATATAGTATATCTTAGAATGTGCACATCAAATGTGTATATGACTCAATGTCAATATGATCCTGCTTGGATGAGTCTTGCTATCTTTTTTAAAATTTGAAAACAAACATATAAACAGTTGTGTCCCGGAACGTTGCAGTAGATAATTTTTTTCATTGCAGACAAGGTAACTTGTTAATCAAAATCAAGCAGATATAACAGGAGTTGGAACAGATACGATTGGATTGGGCGGATCAATGCATCCAATAAACAGATACGATATGTTAGATTCGAAATTTTGCATTTACCATTTGACTTTATTTTAAATATAATTAAAATGCGATTAAAATTGTATTTAGGGTAAAAACAAAATTAGCACGTTGTATTTTAAATTTGTACTCCACAAATATGCGATATCATTCATAAATTACTCCCCTCACCTTATTATTAACGTGTTCCCTGTATTAATGAATATTATTTTTCTTTCCTTATTATGAGGTCGATCTTACCTCTAGCAAGGTAATAGCGTGCTTTGACAGTTGGATCTTGGTCTAATGGACGGCTGGAAAAAAAAAACTTAGAACACTTTAGATAAGTCCTAACAGAACACATCATGGTCTGAATAGTCAATATTCCAGGATGAATTGTCGTGCTATCCTTTTGGATCTGGGAAGACCACATTTCAGCCATAAGAGCATGACATCGAACAGAAATAAATAGCATCCAGATAAAAGATGAATTACTGCAAAACGAATTAATGGTGGTGTAACCTGCAACTGTGTAATGGTTCTCTTTTTTGTTTAGAGTACTGTAAAATTAACCAACTAGCTAGAAGAGTTGAGAGGGAAACCTTCGATCGGAGGAAAAACTTCTACGATTGTGACATGAGATGAGACTACGATCCAGTAACATGCTAGTGAGCGGAAGGAGAATGCAAGCAATGTTTAACTTAGCTCGGTGATATAAACTCACCGTTTTCTAATTGGATAGTAAAAGTGGAATCGCTGTCACCATGAGGAGATTGCTGAAGACGACCTGACCATGTTGAAAAGTGGGAGAGTTATCGGGGAGTGTGCTTAATTGAGAGTGTACATGTGCCTGGCTGCTCGTGGTGACGCGCGCAAGTGCAAAGGAGATGTTGCAAGACATACTGATCATGGTTAAACTGACTGTTGTAGAATTGGATAAGATGGCATGCAATTTTAGATCATGGTTAAACTGACTGTTGTAGAGTTGGAGAAGATGGCATGCGATTTTAGGTGTAGGAGTGGGGGAATGACCCTGCGCATCAGTGTAGGGCTGTAAAAAAGGGTCGAGGCTCGCGAGCATGTCTCATAAACCAGGGCCGAATCTGAGCCCGAACAAAAACTCACGAACTTTAACAAATTGAGCTCAAGCTTCTATCGAGCTTGACTGTGTGTATAGTTTATATTATTTGTTGAACTTATTGATTTAATAAATTAATAGATAAATATATAAATATATATATATATATATTAGTATCTATTCACACAAGCATGTTTTAGCACAATATGATTATTTTAACACTTTTTTACTCTTTTATTAGTTTGGTTGACTAGAAAATAATTATACTAATCAAGAAATTATCATCAAAATATATATTATACTACTTATGACCGAGCTCGGTAGTTGAGCTCAATCTCAAACGAGCTCGAACCGAGCTTGTCTAAAAGCTCGAAGGTGTAATAGGTGTTGGAAATATGGTCATAAATCGGCATATTTTAATCCAAAATATTGAGACAATAATCATGGCATAAACAATGTAGAGTGATCTAGTGACAACATGTAACATAACCAGTAGCATACTAAAAGCATCATTCGCATCATGAACATAGCAGTAACGCAGTAGCATGCTAAAGGCATCATGAATATCAGGAACAGGAACATAGCAGTAAAGCGCTAACAACAGGAACAGGAGAAGGATATACCTCGAGAATGGCCCTCCGCTGGATTGTGAGGCAGAATTGCCTCCGTTAGTGTTGTTGTTCGCGGCATCGGCTCCTGGCGCACCACCTCCGGCTCCTGGCGCACCACCTCCGGCTCCAGCTCCAGGCGCGCTGTCACGCCCAGAAATTCACTAGTAATTTCCGAACTTTTTTTGTGCATAAAATCCTCGTCCAGGAATCAGCCGAGGTACACAAACTGACAATTTAATATACAAATCCATCATAATAATAACGTCACATACTTACAAAAGAAAAGAAAAACAGCAGCGGAATTAACGGTCTAGCGATGGCTTCTGCTCCACTCCCACAAGCAGCTCAACTGGGGTATAAGCCAAACGTCTTCTCCTTCTGGATCCTTTATCTTCAACTGAGGTTTGATTGATTATTGCAAGAATGAGCATATGACATACTCAACAAGCCACACAGCCAATATGCAAGTGCACAAGGATTCCAAATGATGGCATAATATAGGCTCATTTGCGAAAGTAGCATTTAGCAAAGAGTTAAGAGTAGTAAAATAGTAGAGTAATTAATCAGAAATTTTAATCAACACTGAACAGCACACCCATGCTGTACAGGCCCAACCATCCTGAACAACCATACCCGGCTGAACAGATCTAACTCCAAACCAGGAGCTAAGCAAATTATTACCAGTTATAATCATCAATAATTATTGTGAGAGGTGTGAGACTAATCACGAAAAACATTGCTCAACTCGCCCATAACCGCGGGCACGACTATTCGAATAGTTTTACTCTGGCCAGAGGTGTACCACTGTACCCACAAGACACGATTCCGCACATGTCGCCATGCCCCGAAATACCACCACGGCATTGCAAAGGGGGAAATCGTGACAATACCCTTTGCACAACACAACTCAAAACAGTGCACCGTTCCCGGATCATAGTCACCCCCTTATAAACAAGGCTTGGACTCCCCAGCGACCCCCGTGGACTTCTCGCCACTTCTCAGTCTGGCGCACTATAATGAATCACGCTATACAAAAGATAAAGCCGTTGCCCACGCTGGCTTGTGGTTGGCACGATAAATGTTTCACAACAGTAGCTCGCGAACCGGTCCTTAATTGCCATGAGCACGACCTTCAAAACCATGTGCTCACAACCCACCATTAATCATATTTTAATTACCAATTAATTATCATAACACGATTAACCATCGTGAGCTACCATTAAATATAACCATAAATAATAATGTAGTATATATGATTCATCCCATTAGTGAGCTAATGTTTCTAAGCATTGCTAAGCAATTATATATATATAACATTTAGCTGAACCAAACCAATACATAAGGTTCAAGCTAATCAATTTTATTACCCAAGGTATCAAGGAATAGGGCATTCAATGCAAATTGGCCATAACAAAGAAATAGGTTCACACCACCCGGTGACATTCGAAAATAAATGCACAGTTGAAATAAATAGAGAATTTAAATATAGGATCAACATGCTCAAAGGATTGTGTTTAGGATCTGTGTGACTTGCCTTGCAATAATCGGTCTTCAATTAATCTTCTTGATCACTTCCGACGCACTCACGAACCTTCGCAACGACGGAAACGACAAACTAACACGCAAAACGAAGAAAAAGACTAATAAAAACCAAATAAACAGTACATAAAAAGTAAACAAACACGTAGGTCATAATTTTAGATGAATTATGAGACTTGAACGGCCTCATTCTGACTTCAAATGAATTTATTATGAATTTTACAAGATTAAATCTAATTAAAGCCCATTAAAAAAGAATTAAATAAATTTAATTCAATTTATGGACAATTTTAATATGTAGATCTTTATTTTAGAAAAATTTAGCAACTTGAACCACCTGAAACGGATCTACGGTTATTTAGTTATGATTTTCCGAAGATTTAATCTATTAAAAGAAATTGGAAAAAGAGGAGATGATGACGTCGGCATGACGTCATCCATAGCGGCCGGTTAGGGTTTGCGAGCTCGCCGGAGCTAGGGCGATCGGCCGGGACTTTGGAGGACACCTTCACGAAGAGGACGACGAGACGAACCCAACGGTACTCACCAACGCGACGAACGGCGACGGACGACGGCCGGCGATGACGCAAGAGGCGGCGGCGGCTCGGTTGAACGGCGGCGACGGCTCTACGGTGGCCGGCGGCGAAGAAGGACGGGCGGCCGGGCTTCCTCACTCCACGGCGCACCTCTTGGCGGCGGCGGCAAGCGGCGGCGACGGCAGACGCGGCGGCGCGGCGCGACCGGAGGATGGCCGGCGGCGGCGGCGGCTTGACACGCGCGGCGCGGCGGCTAGGAGGCACGGGAGAGGACGGGAGAGGGGGCAAACGAAAGAGGGCGACGAGGGGATGCTTTATATAGCATTAGATTAGAGAGATTGGACTCCAAACGAGAGAAATCGATCCAAGAAAATCAAAACTCGGTTTTGGAGATAAACTCGAAAACGAGTTTGATTCGGGCAAGATACCCAACCATTTGCTCCAATTCTTGAGGGGAAAGATAGAGGAGAACGAGAGGATAAAAACCCCTCAAACAATCGGAAGAAAAGGGGAGAGATTGGGGAGGAAACGGCGCGGCAAGGCG